ACTGAGTCATGTTTTTTTCTGCTGTCATTCAGTGCCACTGGTCAGTACGGGTGTCACTGATTGTTATCATGTGAACATAGTTCTGAGTTGGCTTTGTGAAACTAAGGTGGCCCTAATACTACAGACCAATCTAAAAGAGCTTTGTGAAACTGGCTCAAGTTGCATCGTTAGTTTACATCCTCTGCATTTCTGAAACCTCGGCCCTGCAACACAAAAATTAAATATTGTGTGCATAAACAGAAATGCAACAAAACAAAATATACTGACAGTCCCCAGCTGTTCTGTGCAGTTCTGCTTGCTGATTCTGTTTCAGTGTTTTCATCCCAACAGGAGCGAAGCTGTTCTAAAACCATAATAGCTAACTTCCTTTAATGGCCCGTTTTATTTTTAGCAGCATTAACTGTTCAGTTCAAGCCGACTTCCTAGAAGATATTTCTCACATTGAGGCACCTCCTGGTCCTGGAGAAGTCCATTGCGTCACGACAGTCTAACCCAGTATTTAAGGAGGGACAAATCAACGTGGGGCCCAGTGGAGTGAGAACACTGAAAGAAGAGCTGGGTAAGTTTCATATTCTCCTCCAGCTCCCCACCTGAGTTCTGATAATAAAGTTGTCACATCCCCAGCTTTCTGAGTCTGGCCAGCTGGAGCACATTTTAACTTGGCAGACCTCCTCCCTGCTGCCTCTGATGTACTTCTGCTCAACCCATGCGAGCTCATTCAAACATTAAAAAAAACAAAAACAAAAAAAAAAACTGATTGTACTGCATTATGAAAGAACTTATGCAGCATCACTGCAAATTATATACACACACACACACACACACACACACACACACACACACACACACTGCTGTTTAAAAATAATCACACTTCATATTTACCATCAAACACAAAGCACAAAACAACAACGCCATTTAACAAAATGTATTCCACTCATTTAACAATCCGCTCTTCAGCTGATGATGCAACACGCACTCAAATGCTATACAGTATGCAGAGTACTGCGTTTGGAGCTCATGACACTCTATGAGTTGCTTTTAAATGAACTGCTAAAAGGCCATAATTGCATCACTGAAGGACAGCATTTGGCTAACACACTGGCTGTATTCTAATACTAACGTTTCAGAATTTATGGACAATTTTCAAAATACAGTACTGTTAAATTAGATTGTTATAGATTCATCAAAACCTAAAACCCAACATACAACTTTACACACAATGTTGTTTGAATTTGTACTAATTAAACAAGAAAACTGACATCTTTCATCTGCTCTACCCTGACTACCACCTTCCTGGATACGTGCTTTTTAATTTGATCCCAATTTAATCCTCCCGTTCCACAAATGTCACAGGAATCATTTCCTGAAGATGGGTTGTACTTGCGTAACTCTTGCTCTGTATTGAGAAGATGTGACGCCACACTTCTTACTGGGCCGTTTCCCTTGACATTTCCACTGTCAGTCATAATTGGACATCATTGTGCAGTGAACATCACTTAAGGTCATTCTACTTACTAGAGTGCAGAGTCATTCAGCTCAAACTCGTGACCTCTGGCTGCGGCCGCTCGCACCCCTTGGTCGGCCCAAAGCGCATAGAAAGCATGAGCCACGAAAGGAAGCAATTCTTGGTCATCCCCCAGACACTGGCTGCAGGCCAGGATAGAACGGGCGTGAATCTGAACAGGACAATACATATTTATACTAAAATACATCAGATTAAATGTGATGTTTCTCGAAAATAAACTCCCAAGTAATGCATTGCAGGTTGTATCGTCTCCCAGCACAAATGGATTATTACATCATGTCATTTATTGACATGTCAGGCCATTGATACATGCAGCAGGCTTGAGGCCTACTTCCTGTTAGCATGAGCAAGCTAACATGAGTACACAGTAGAAGTTAGGTTTGTTGGAATGAATACTAAACACCAGGTGGTTTCCGATACAGTATTAAAGGAAAGCAGAAGTCTGGTTAGTTACATGGTGAGCTATTTGAAATGTTTGGTGACTAACAGCAGTTTAAATGTTTGCTAGTGACAGTTTGGTAATAGCTTGAATTAGCCTGAGTAGATGAAGGGCTGTGTGGGTTCAAACAAAGGAGGTGGTGGTTGTGAGACACTGGAACACACTGATTGCTTCTCTGTGTTGTGGGTTACCCCCCGGTGACCCTGTAGACTTGGCTTCACTCCTACACCCACACAAAACCTTTATTGGTAGTGGTGATAATGTAGTTACAGACTCATTGGAATTGTTAATAGTTTGTTTGACAATATTGGTAGAGCATCAGTGGCTGGAGAAATGAGGAGAACCCCCTCTCAGAGGTGACAAGCCAGTTGGACTAGACACTGCTTAACCTGATCAAACAATGCAGATGCTGTGTGTCAAGCCACACTTCTCTTTGCTTGGGTGAGAACAGGGTTCAGGGATGCTTTGTTTTAAGGATAGGCTAGGTCTGGGAAATGGCGTCGCTTATTGTGGAGCTCTGGAGACTTATGACGGCATGGCCTGGCACCCTCCTCTCTGGGGCCAAATAGATAAACATCATTTAACTCCTATATGGAGCTTCCATATGAATGCTCTCTCATTCTTTGGCACATTTAGTTGTGCATTACTAACCGTCTTGCACCATCAGAACTTAGATGGATCACCAGTCTATCAGTCATCACTGCTGGTCACTGGGTCCTAAACAGATAAACACTGACATCTAGTGTGGTAATGAGGGACTGCAATAAATAGTGGACTAAGTCTAAGAGAAAACACATTTGATGAAACTTTATTTAAAACCGTGTCTCCACAAAAGGTCTATCTGTATTAATCTCCTCACCTTGTTCTTCTTGTTAATAAGGTTTATCCTCAGGATCCCCATTCCTCGAAGAACAAACTTCATAGAGGTCAGAAGGTTGTCCAGCACAGCCGGCTGCAGAGAAGAATGAAAGTCAAGTCTTTTAACTCATCTGCTCCTGGTGATGCCAAAGGTTGTTTTCAAGCTTAGATCAATTCAGTATTTTAGGGTGAAAAATGAAGAGCGATACCTTGAAACTAATGAGCTCTTGTTTGGAGAAGCCATTGCTGTGAATGATTTTTATCTGTTTGATCAGGGTGCTCTTTCCACTCTCTGCAGTTCCTGAGGCACAAAGAATATAATACTTTCCATTTCAAGTGTCAATGATGTATTGGCATATGATAAACAAATGTCTAAGTTACCCAGCAGGAGGATTTTCACCACATTCATCTCAGCCCTGGCATGTTCACAGAGGTCTTGTTCTATTTTAGAGCTCTGGACTTTAGCCTTTTTTTGCTCCTCTGTAATGTCCTGGCGCGGGCACATTCCCAAGCAGATCTAAGGAAGAACAAGGATACGTTTGGCTTTTCATACAAGTTCAAATAAAATCTATGATAAATTTGAAGACTATAAACACAAATGGTTGTGTGGAAATGAAGAAGCATGGCTTCCCCAGCGCTGATCACATACTGTTGCAACTTATATTGTGTTTCTAAGAAGCAAATTGGCGATTTCTTTAATTGGCGCAAGTGTCTTAGTAACCAAGATGGTCTGAATGTCATTTCTCTTTTTTCATTCTTTTTTTAAAATCTAAACATCTACAGTATGACAAATGTCCAAATCGTCTTAATAGGCGACTTAAATATCGTTCCAAGTCTAAACGACATCCACAGATTCGAATTAACTCGAACCTTTATCTTCTGAAATGAATTCAATAATTTGATGAACGTACTACCTGCAGCGGCACTGGCAGTATACTGAAACAACAAAACATTGTTGGAACAAATTCCACACGTCCAAACTCCTAGAAAATCCAGAACCTGAGCCGACAGAGCTCGTTGAGGTTCATTAGGAACAGGTGTGCACAGGCCTCTTTTCAAACCGGAGCCACCTGCATGTCGGTGTGTTCCAGGTGCAGTCAAGACAACAAACGTGCAGTTTCACTCATAAGAATGGTGGTGTTTTTAACTTTTCACATCAATTTTACTTACTACATCTAACACTGAAGGCTATTTTGCATGGGGTAGTATGTTTAAGATTTTTTTTTACTAATACTTACGCAATTATGTAGAATCTGGAATGTAGGAATTTTAATTTTATTTATTTTTAATCTTGTGTTGCTATTGGAATGACCTAATCTCAACAACCTGACATTTAATGAAGTCAAAAGATGATCCTTTCTTATCACCTGTGTCCTTACCTTTCACAATGTGGCCTCTGCTCATTTACTCATATAATAAATTAGACTTGATTTTACCACACCCTGACATTTTCTGTTTTAATAAAACAAGACAGCAAACACCTTTTCATAGTAAACTGTTATTATTATCAGCAACCATAGTCCCATCGGTTTGTCAACTGGCAATTGTCCATAACAAAGATTACAGCCTACAGTAAATACATTCCAATTTTACATACAGACATATTATTATTGTTTTTAAACAACAGGAAACCATCCATATGATAGTTAATGGAGAGGAGGTGAGTAAAATATGCATTTACAAAAAAATATATTATTTAATCCCATTTGCAGAGACAGAGGTTAAATTGTTCAGGATTTAAAAAATGACAGGAAGAGGTCTACTTCATGATCAACAACATTGAACATCTGTTTGTCATTCTCTAGTTATACTATTAAAACTAAATGTTAAAAGCAGTCTCTTAAAATTCTGTAGTGTTCTGTATATGAGGATAAACTTAAGGAGTGCTGGAAAGGCCAGGTGCAGGTCTCAACTGTGTGCATTTTAGACCTGTTTCACCAGTAAAAACAGATGGTACTGAGTAGTTGGTGCAGCCTGGTGTAGGGTCTGCTATATACATGAGGTTCCAAAATAGTGTATCAAGTTTTCAATACCTTCTCACTTCAAACACTCAGCTACATCCCAAGTTAAAACCGGGGAGCAGGTCAGTTTTCTCCCCTAATTCTCTAGTATTCTCAGCATCCTCCAGAGAGCCTGTAATAATTATAATACATACATACAGTTCATACAGTATATACAAAGATAGAGCAGTCACGGGGCTGAGCCCGTTGTTGGGCAAAAAGCAGCAACAGCCCCACAGAAATGACAACTCAAACCACTTCCTTGCTATAGTTCAATACCTGACCACCTTCTCAGGTTGCCACACGCACACAGACACACACACACACACACACACACATACACACACATCTGCCCCTCATGTACCCACATCCCATAATATACTTAAAAATACTCAAAAAATATAAGTACTTGAGAAATTAACTCTATTCAAAGACATTAAATAGACAGACAATTTTTTAAAAATTATTCTTCTGCCTATATCTCAGTAGTTAGATATCTCTATGTGTGACTTGTTGACTGACATAAACATGTATTTGCATATGCAGAATATATTAATACACAGAAGACCCCCCACCACCACACACATATTGTATACCTGATGATACCACAGCAGACTATGCTGCTCTGGCTGCTGGAAAGACTGCCAGGATTGTGTGTTGACGGTGTCATAATACTTACAAAAGGGTTTATTTCACTGTACACGAGTTAAGGTTACTTGAGCTTGTCAGTGTTAGGTTGACACATAGCTGACAGTGCCTTTTCAGGGCCCTCCTACTGCACAGCCTGGGCTCTCTCTTTAGTCTTTTCATCTTCTTGTCGCTTCATGGCCTGGATCACAGCCATCTCTTTGGCCTCTTTCTTCTGGTTCCTTGCTTCAAACAGCAACCTAAATCACACAAAGGATATTAGAGAATATACATAGTAAGACCGACGTCCGACGTACTGCATATTCACTCCAGAAGTCGCTCAACTATTTTAACTATTTATTTTACCTATTATTTTTCTTGATACCTGTTTTTGATTATCCTTTGCACAATGGCATCTGTAGTGAGGCTGTTCCCGCTGTCAACAGTTCGCAAGATGCCCTTCCTCCTGGGCTCCTGGGTGTGAAAATAAAAAGTGTCTAAAAATGTGATTCCTAATTCACAAAGGTGCTTTTTAAAACTGGCTGTACAATGTGACAGTGTTTATACTCTTACAGCATAAGGGTCAGATCCATCCTTGTTAGGGTATATTTCTGTCTTTCCATGGCAAACAAGATCCACCTTTGAATATAAAGCTATGTTAAAGTTTGATTCATTTTTGATCAGTGAGAACTTAAACTAGAGGTGAAAGTGAAATGGATTACATGTATGTACCTTGAAATGGTCCAGCAAATCTTTTGTGACAGCAAAAGGTGCACCAATCACCACTTCTGAGACATACTGTGAAAAAGAAGTACACACACTAGTTTATACATAAAGAGTGCATATTGTGTAGTGCGCTGTATTGATGGAGAATGAGCAAGAAACCAAGAACCTACTCGACAAGCCAGGACACTCAGCGTTCTCTCGTGGACATTCATGATGGGGTAGTTTTTCCCTTTGTAACGATTCACCTCCTGAAAAATACAGGCAAAGTAGAGATGTGTAGAAAATGCCATCATTTGACTCAGGGAAGCAGTAAAGTGTCTCGGAGAAGAAGGAGACTCACCTGATCAAAGTGCAACCCCACTATAATGTATGGCTTTTCAGCGAGTTTATGCACCGCTTCCAGGAAGTCCACATGGCCGATGTCTGACAGGAGACCAGTCAAGGGTAGCAGCTAATTATTTAATAGCAACAGTTCACAGAACGATTAATTATTCACACCATTCTGACAGTGGTATTGTTGCTTTGATATATTACAGTTACACTGACTTTATTAAATAAATTCCACATGTATAAAACATGTTCAGAGAAAAAAATCTATTTCAACTGTGGATGTAGAAAAGATACGGAAGAGGTCAAAGGCCCCTGCCGCATAGATGATAGTGTCTCCAGGTTGAGGATCCTGGCCTGAAGCAAACTGGATGATCTTCTGTGAAGTCTGCAGAAACTGAGAAACCCCCGTCCAGGGACTGTGGCCCTTCTGACCATGCAACCCCCATAAAAAACAAGCACAATGAGTACAAAAGTGACAGTGTAGCATTAAAACAGATACACTTCAGGTGAGATTAACGATCACCACTGAATTATGTTGAGCATGTGAAACCACAACTACATCGCCACCCAGTGGCGTGAGTGGTAATGTTACCTCTGGTCAGTGGCTCAAACATGTCCCACAAATCCTCAGTGCATGTATTCAACCCTGGCCAGATTCACAGCATTAATCTCCCAGCCATAGATGCTCAAATGTAAAAAGAACCTCTACTGAATTCACACAGTTTAAAACCACAGCGTGTTGACTTGGAGTTACTTTTCCCATCCAAGAAGAGAAGTAGCATTCAATGTTGACTGGCACGGCCTGTTACTTGATTGTAAAGTGGGTCCACAGTAAAGGCCTTTGTTTAATAATGGCTGACATCCAGCCCATATTGTTAAGGGTTTAATATTTACTGAATGATGACCAAAGCATCAAAATCAGCTGAACATATGCTTGGTACCTACCTTTCCAAAGTTGTCTGTGTGCTGCTGATAGTCTAAACTATCCTAAAGAGAACAGATGGTTGAATTAGACTTGTACTGTGAACTGAACTCACTGAGACAGAATAAGACTGTACTCACAATGTTGCTGTGGTGTGCTTTGGTCATCAGCAGCATCCTGCCAACCAGATCTGTCGTTGAAACTCCCTGGGTTCTCTTACACTCCCTGTAACAACACAATACACAATGTCACACCTTAAGAAACACACACACACAACATTGTTATCACCTGCCTCACCTGTATCGTCCTGACTTCTTCACCTCTTCATATGTGTCCTTCCCATCCACTGTTAGAGTGATATCATCTGAAACAACACTTAAGCTTTGTCATATCCAACAACAGCATTAGTATAATCAGTGATCTGTATTTTTTATGATTATTAATCAGTTTGTGTGTCATGTTTTAAACATCATGTAGCGGTATTTTGTACCTCCGTGCACACAAAAGTCACAGTTGTACTTGTCAAGGGTCTCAAGGGTGGTGACATACGGTGCTCCTTCCACAACCTCGTCCACCCATTTTATGGCCCGTACCATCTTGTATCTTTCTTCCTGAGTGAAGACCGGCGGACCCTTGTGCTTTGCGATTTCACCTTCAATACAAAATATTACATGCAAATTATACTGATGACACACACAGGTAATGAGGACTGAGGTTAATGGAACGGGGACAAAAATCTCCTTCTGCATGACATTCTGATGAGCAGTTTTGTAGTGACTGTCTAGTCAGTGAGATATTTTATTAACACCTCAACAGAGGGGGAAGTTGCTGATATTGCTACTGACACTCACTGTGAAAATCATTCTGGGTTATCACAATGTCAGAACGCCCCAGTGGGCACAGGAGGCTGATGTGCAATCATTGAGCTGCTGCCAAGACTGGCACAACAGCAACCTCTTCTATTGTATAGGACACAGCTGGTGCCTGGCTTGTAATGACTGATGTATAGAAGATAAACAGAGGATACTGGCACCATGGATCCTCATACCTAGCAAATACAGGCTGGACTTTGGATGGTAAAAAGTTGAGCATGAAAACAGGTTGGCTACAGATGGCCTTAAAAATTCCTGGTAAAGTAGCCGAGAGAGGGCATTTCCACTGAAAACACCATGTTTTTGCAGTGATGTTCACCGGTTGTGGACACTTACTGTCTGTATGTACTCCAACAATGAGGTAATCTCCCATGGTCTTGGCCTGTCGCAGCTGGTTGGAGTGGCCATAATGCACCATGTCATAGCTGAGAGTAAAAAATATAAGAATAAATGTGAATATTTACAAATGTTATATTTTAATACTGATGTATATAAGATGTAGGAAAGGACTGCTTTTAAAACTGGTTGGAAAATCAAACTGATAAGTACTAAGTGGTAAGGTTTGGCACTCTTTAATCAAAATGAAAACACATTGCACAATTCTTTCAGTGCACCATGGTCTGTTATTGAAGATAGGGAAGTAAATGAGAATATCAGGTGAATAAAACACAGTGTACTGGATAAGAGCTATGTGATGTGTTTTAATTTGGAAGCTCACACTGTTCTCAGAGTCAGATGTTTGCACTCCGAGTGGTCTTGAATGTACCAACAAGGCCGAGTTTTGACTTATTCAAGAAAAAAAAAAAAAGAGAGAGAGAGGGAGGTTGATTAAAATCTTCAGTGAAAGGATTATAAAGCAGTTCCTACATGCAAATATTGTCCTTATGCTATGACCCCATCACATATCATTTGATCTGCTAGACATTGAATGAGTCTCATCATATAAAAGTTAGTGTTGCAGTGTATTTCCCCTCCCTGTTCCCTTCAGGCTGTCACACCATCTGTAGATAGTCAAATTAGCGCAGATCGGAGATTGTATCATGGTAATTTTGCATAGTAATGGAGAACAGATGGACATTAGACTTCCAGCACTACTACTACTGACTAACAGCTGACAAAAGTCTGGTACATTTTTTAAGAGTGATAAGAATGAGCACTGACTGATGAAAGCAACTGTCCATATGAAAATTATACTGCGTTCAATAAGACCTGATCAAAGAACCACTGTGTATTCACTGAGTGACAGTATAACCATCAGTTCAGAATTCTGTCAGTAATTAACTTAGGGAGTCACAATAATGATGCCATAATGACCGTCAGCATATCAGTACACACAGGAGTAAAGCGTAGAACACTATGAACAGCAACCATAAAAATCAATAATAAAACAGATGAGAGCTGCCAAGACGACATGCAGTATGTTCAGGGCCACGTCAGTAAGAGAATCCCCTGTTGTTTTCAGTCCCAGACTATGCTAATGAAACACAGTATCTGCACCTTGCTGCAGTGTCACTATACAGTTTGAGTGAAAGCCTGGACTGCACTTGAACGCACTGAAATAAAAAGACAAACTATTACTAGAATTCAGGGTTTGTCTATGTGATCCAGATATATTCACTACTTTGACAAAATGGTGAATCAGTGAAGCTCAGTTTCTGTCTTGTGCTGTCAGTATGTTGAAATGAGATCCACGTGTGCGGACTACAGGAATGTAGTCAGAAGAAGCATTTGGAGGTGAATGAAAAGAGAAGGAAACTGTGAGTCTCAAACAGAGAGAGTTACATAAGACCATAAGAGTTACCAGGAGGCTGCTGTGGGGTGTTACACCAGCC